GACTGGTCCGTTATGGAGATGCTGCATAGCATTGTACGTCCATTAATGACTTTGCTGGTTCATTGTGGTTGTGAGAGGAAGGCCCCAATGAAAAGATAGAACACTCATCGAGCAAGTTACTGAACGAAATGGGAAGAACTGATGATATTAAATATGTATGGGGCTAATAAGAAAGAGTAGTACCATATCAGTAGGTTAAATTATGGAGGAAATTGGAAATTTAACATGAAGAAAATGAGATTGAGATTGGATTCACAACGTGAAAGGAGGGGTAGGTAAATGTCGATGGAAAAGCACATAAGGGTATCATAATCATAACGTATATTTCTTCGTGGAGAAAAAGGCTGCTCTTTCCTCCTCAGGTATAGCTGCCTCCGGGCAGTTTCTCAACTCACAATTCTTACGATCTGTTCCGACTTTCGTTCTCGCTTACTCTTGCCTTCTAGTAAAGTGAGAACTATGAATGCTAAATTACAGTGTTCTCCTTAGAGGAAAGTGTTTTCTGCAGCATTTCCTTGACAGATTGGGCACCATAAGACAAATCTTCAAACATAAAAGGAACTCATTGATAGGAACTCAAATTAGGTTAAAGAAAATTGTCTTGAGGCGCGGGAAAACTGGTTTTTAGTTTTGTGTCTGATTCGTTGAGAGAGTGGCGTGACTTTTCTGGTTTTATCACAGAGCGTTGTAAAGATTTGAAAAAAACCGATGTAATGCAGTATTACTTGTGAAGTTTACTTATAAAGTGCTCCCTTTTTTAATTTTTGTGTTGACACAGGTGCTCGGTTTGGCAGTATTCTTTGCTCTGGTCGTTAAAAAGCCAGACAAAGGTGAATTTCAGGTAACTGAAGAGGTGCTCAAACTCGCCGAGGATGAAGAATTTCTCGGCCAACAATCGGACCTCAACTCAGGAGGATCAAAGACAAAGAAAGCGAAGCTTTTCCCTCCAGACCAAGCAAGACTGATTGCTATGAGAGCAGCGAGAATGAAGGAACGAAAGATGTATTCTGTCATTCGCGAGGTCGCCACTTACTACATATTTCTCGCCCTGTTGCTAACGATCGCTTACACGCACAGAGACAAATCAGCTTACTTCCAGACGAAACACCTTTTCGATATTATGGGAGATAACTTTTCCAAAGTGAGTACTAAATGAAACCTCTGAATAATGTAATGTCGTTATTTATCATCGAGGGGTCAGAGGATCTTGGTAGTGTCACAATAAAATTCACCTGATCCCCCCCCTCCCTAGACTCTGTAGTATTCTAATGATCCACCCTAATTGGCAGTCAAGTTTATTCTGTCCTACTTTTATACTCTGTCAGCGACGATAAGCACCCCCCCCCTCTCCCGCATTCTCCCTGAAAACCACGTAACCTCCTTCCCAAATCTTCCGACCTTAGCGATAAATAATGACTTTTCCCCTGGTGTTATATATATATACGTACATCCACCCTATTGAGTTATGCCTTTTATCCTTGCATCGCAGTCTGGCTGCTAAAATTTTACAAGATAATACTTTCTCTTCGACCACGGATTCGTCATCGCCAGTTGAAGAGAGGAAGCCTTTTTCTTTGTTAGCTTGTGGGCCTCGACTCCGAGTGACCCAGAGACCTCGCTAGTTTCACAGAGTATTTTAACTTTAAAAGATTCCTTTTTTGAAGGCCATTTTGTATCTATGAATGTTCCTGCTATCGTGTTCTACTAGTATATGTTTTAAATAACGTCATTCGAATTCTTGTTCACATCCACAGATAACAAATGAAAAAGAGTTTTGGAATTGGACTCAAAGTGAGCTCTTGACGAGCTTGTTCCCCAAGAAATGGTACAACGGCGAAGAACGAAAACCCGATGGGTTCATGGTGGATGGCTACAGTCAGATGGTGGGCGGGGCAAGGATGAGACTCCTCAGAGTAAAAAGAGGTTTGTTTGCTTGTTTGTTTATTTGTCTGTTTTATATGTCGGCAATTTTTCATTTACCAAGGCTCATCCAGCTTTTCTGTTGCAAGGATCGTCTGCGGGTATTACCGCTCCTGCAGGATGCATGTCAGGCCTCCAAGCATTTCGTCAGCTTTCCGTGGCATTTCGCTTGTATTTGTTATCTCTCCTCGAAAGAGAGAGGCACTGTGGTGGTACCTTATCTTGGCCAATGACATATTACCATAATCTGGCCAGTGTCGGGGCCCAGACCTCGGGATCAGGAATCCAGCGCGGTTACCAAAGATTTACTTGCTAACAGGCCCTTCCTTAGCGTCTCACAACAGGCCAAGTGACTTTCCCTTCCCCTACCTCACCCCTATACTAAGTCCATGCTGACCATGGAACTCATAACAACATATTTGATTCCCAGAATCCTGCCGGGTTCCAACCGAGTTGTATGGCATCACAAAAGAATGCTACGGAGAATATTTTGTGACCAAGAACGACAAGAATGATTACACAGAGGGATGGGAGAACATCACTACATACGACACTCCAGTGTCTTGGGATGACATGCCGTGGAGATATCAAAACAGCAGTCAGCTTGATGGGTACCCCTTCTTGGGCACTCTGACCACTTACAGTGGAGGAGGGTACGTTCAAAGTTGTTCTAAAGCTAACTATCGTAAAATGTCGATCGCGAGAGATAAGCACGCGCTCGTATTGCCTAGCTGAAAAAAAAATATTAAGGCAGACTCTTCAAGACTTACGCTTAGATTTTGATTCATTTTGGCGCGAGAATTGTAATTTAAAAAAGGACTTTTAAACAAATAATCTGCAAGTGTAGACTTACGTCAAGGAAAGGATACTTAATCCTTTCAGCACCGAGATCTGATCGTTAATTCTCCCCGCTTGCAGCAACACATTTTACGAATTTTTATGGATTAAGATCACAAATTGTACCTTATAAGTTTGAGTATTCTTATTACCTTTGTGCTGGGTAATTTACGTATATAATAGGGTTGGAAGTTAATGTTTGAAAATCACTTCTAAGATTTAAATGGTTAAATATGGTTAAGATAAATACTGTAAAATCATATGATGAACTTGAAAAATATCAGCTCTTTTTTGAGCCATGTGTGTTCCCACAGTGAAAAGAAGAACTCTCGTGGATTTCTTGTCTGGACACAGTTGTTTAGTTCTGTTTCTGCTCAAAGCCACATAATGTCTAAAGAAGATCCCGTCTACTCCCAAAGAGAATAAAAACTGCTTTTCACAATTTTGTTTTCTAACGGGTTAAAGACTTGCATGTGCATTCATGGACATACTAGTTAAAATGCTTTCCGTTCTTAATCGCACAGTCATTGTCTGGAGTTAAACCAAAGGCGAGTTTCTCTTTCTTCCAAATTTGACTATATTGTTGCACCATTGTTTTTTTTTAGTGTAATACATTCGTGTAAATTTTCTTTCCACAGGTACGTAATTGTTCTTGAACCTGGGTTGGAGAACTTCAGACGTGTCAGAGTCCTTGAGAAAAATATGTGGATCGAGCGGCGCACACGGGCTGTGCTGACTGAATTCACAATATACAATGCACAGAGTAACCTGTTTTCTATTGTTACTCTGGCGGCAGAATATCCCGCCACTGGCGCGGCTATTCCCTACGTTAGCATCCAGACTGCGCGCCTGTACGACTTTAACAAGACCATCATGCTCTTTGTATTAACGATCGAGGTCGTGTTTGTGTTGTTCACGTTGTTTTTCTTTTATCGTGAAGTGAAACATATTTACAAACTTGGAATCCAGGCTTACCTGAAAGAGTTTTGGAACTGTGTGGAGATGGGGATCAGTTTGTTTACCTTCGCTGCCATAGCGATGTATGTTTACCGCACGCTCACCATTAGAAATGTGTTGGATTTAGTGCGACACGACCCTTTCAACTTCAAGAGCTTTCAGTTCGCAGGGTATTGGAACGAGACGTACACGTTTGTCCTGGCTATGATCGTTCTCCTAGCAAACATTAAACTGAACAAGCTCCTCCGGTTTAACAAGCGGTTCTCGCTCCTGTCCTCCACACTTAAGTACGCGTACTACCCATTGCTGATGTTCAGCATTGTCTGGGGCATCGTCTTTCTCGCTTACACGATGTTCGCGTCGTTAGTGTTCGGACCCGTTCTGTACAACTACCGCAGCATCATGGCCTCGCTGACGTCTCTGTTAAGCCTTATGCTGGGAAGGACTGCCTACTTTGAGATGCGTGACACCAATCGCGTCCTCGGTCCTCTTTTTTTCTTCGGTTTTATGTTCATGATGTCGTTTGTGCTCATCAACATGTTCCTTTCCATCGTGGTGGACTCGTTCATCGTCGTCAAGCACGACAATGACAAGCAATCGAACGAATATGAAATCGTCGACTTCATCATCGAGCGCTTTAAGCTATGGTCGGGAATCGGAAAGACTCGGAGACCACAGAGTCGAGGCAAGGTCCTTTGGGAGACGGCTACGTCTCGTGTCAAAGCCGTCAACGTGCTTACCAAGAGCCACCTAACCTCAGATGTCGCAGGTCTGCACGAAGATTCAGTTTCAAAGCTGGAGAACCGACTTGAAAAACTTATTGATCGAACTGAAGAGTTGTATGGGGAGATTTTCCCTGAGAAGAAATACAAAAACTCAGGGAAGACACGGGGAAGGGTTGAAAAAGGAGAAGTGCCTGTTTCTAAGGGGGATATACTTGAGGGGCAAACTGGCTGACAGAGGAAACACAAAGTGGTCTCCAAGGGTGGTGTTTGTAAAATATCTCTTTAAGATGAAGCGTAGTTTGATCGTTACTAAAAATGGACAAAGATTTTAAATTCCTCTACAAAGTCTTTTAATACCGACGTACTTGAATAATCAGATGAAATCATCTATAAAAATCGTGGTCTTATGATGACTTCTTATGAGATTCAAGGTCTTTTTTAACGCATTAAATCAGCCCAAATGTTCTCAAACCTTTGCTTTTAAATCAAAAGATCGACCAGTTTGAAATAAAGTACAGTACTCAAACAGATTGCATAATCTCGGCAGTAAAGATAGTTAAGAACGGATGAAACAACTTAAGATCTCGCTGCAGGAAGATTTAAGATATTTAAATTCTAAGAATAGCGTTTCAAAGTACTTCAAATAAATCCTCGGCTAAAAAATAGTTTAGATCAATGCCGAGGACTTTTTGATTATCGAAGGTAATCTAGTATTGCACTAGTTTTCCTTCTTTTCCATCTGCTGAGGCCTGCTAACTATGCGTTTTGAATGCCTCGATTGGCCAATCGATTTAGCTATAGCATGGTTTATACTTTCGGAAAACCAATGACCCTTAAATTGTATACAAATTGTATACAAATTGCCGTACGTGTAGAGTGGTCAGTTGCTAGTGCTCTTTGTATATAATTGAGAGGTTTTCATCAGTGTTTTGATTTAGAATATACTGTCGCGAAAAGTGCAACGCGAAGTTAAGATTAGATACCAGAATATAAAGAAACTTTTTTCGTGGAATTTCCAACCACTTTACTTAATTAAATACCAGTCACTGCAGCCCACAACGACACAGCGCTTTACGCATCTCAAAATTCAAAACGATTCTACACCTTATTTAATTGTTTTCCATTACAATTTCAACCTTCTGTTTTTACAAGTTATTTGTAATAATTAATTTTATTCTACATGTTAAAATGTGATTTTCCATTAAAAACAGTTGATTGACAACGTTCGTATTTCGACCAATTTTTGCTGAAAGTCATCTCCAAGCGCTTTTTTTTCTTCCCCATTCTGTGACTCTTCCCTCCCAGTTCTACGCCCATCCTAACCCCAAATTATGTTGTATAAGTCCAGAGCCTCATAAGTGGTGGTTTTGCAGCTTAGCTTTAAAGCTAGATTACAATCATCAAGTAAAATTCCATTCTTTACCAATGTAATAGTGTAACAACAGACCGGTTTGAAAGATGTAGACTTAGCCTACGCTAAAAATGGAATTCTAGCTATTTATCGCTATGTCTGATCGCTCTCTGGTTGATTTTTTGTCAGCCTCTAAGTCTTTCATACTGAAGAAAATCTCGTAGATGTTGGTTAGCTTTGGTTTGCTTATGCACTTCCATTCGTAAGTCGTATTCGTTTCAGCGGTTTTCCCAAAAAGCGGCAAATACAAAGATGGCGGCAGACTCTCAGGTAAGGCCTCTTAATGGAAATTTCATGTTTTTTTTTGATAATAACAAAGTCTAAGGAAGCAGATTAAGACGAGGAGGATGTTAACTCTGATTTATTTTAGATTCAGATCTATCAGAAGCGTCTGGAACTTCACACTATTGTGTTTGCAGTGGCCTTTTCACCATGTGGCAATTTCTTGGCGGCGTGCAACAACTTTGGACAAATTGCGGTTTTTAGGTGAAGGTCGTTTTGGTGTATTCCTCTCTCTGTTTGTTGGTTTTTTCAATAGATTAACGTGAAATCAAGATGTGTCAATGAAGCCACATTACTATTTGGATTTAATCACAAATCAAGGTTGCATGTTTATATTACTCTAAGTTCTTAATTTTTCTAAACAACTCTATGTCCGTAAATATTTTAGCATTACTTCTGCTCTGGCACCCGATGCTTCATCCGACAAGAAGAGACCAGTAATATTTTTCCAAGGTGAGTCTATACGTATACATGTAGCTCTACCACTTACTTTTCAAGTTTACCAGTCTTATAATGTCCAGAAGGGCACGGTATCTGTAACACAAACAAGATCAATTTCTGTTGTTTGAATATACCTGGTAATGTAAATATGTAGTGCAATTCTAGAAGATGTCATGCATAGTCTGACCTGCCTTGGCAAAGTTTGTTCAGATGATGCATCCAAAAACAAATGTCTTGATATTCTTGGTAGAGTTATGTACAGTGTAGTGCAAGCACCCATTTCTACTCCTTTTTTTTTTTGGTTTTGTTTTTGATCGTTGCTGGAGGATCAGGTCCCAGTTGTCCACTGCATGAATATCTTTCTGGTGGATAGCACAGTAAGCTTTGTTGACACCCATGCGCTGGATAGCATTTTATTTATTTGATTATATTATCCACCTTTGAACAACTGGGCTCAGCTGGGAAGAAAACAAACAGCATATATTTTGGATTACACTGGATTTATACTGGAATATAATTGATCTTACCACAGAAATTACACTTCTTAAAAACAAGGCCACTTAAAGGAGATTAATTATTCTTTCATAAACCATTGTCTATAGCCACAGTAAAGTTTACTCAGCAATATGAGGTCATTCAGTGCTAGAGACCAGTACTGAAAAACAATGTTACTTTGTGGTTAATGGGTGCATAGTTGATGTAAAAGCTGTGTTGAGTTCTCTTTAAAAAAAAAAAAACATTGAAATTTCTTTCAGGTCACAGCAACCCAATTTACAGTCTAATATCTACAGATAAATTTCTAATCAGGTATTTGATTGTGACTCTTTCCTGATTGGTGATCAATTTTTTAGGCAATAATTTTAAGTAGGGAGATGATGTGTCTTTTAAGTGTGAGCAAGCATTTTTTATGAATTTATTTGGCTGTTTATTTTGCATTGCTGTTCAGTTATAACTTATTTTGTAACCTATATTTAGTGGTGGCTCATCTGAAATACATGGATGGCGATGGGATGAAATTCTTGATAAAACAGAGGTGAATATCTGTCTAGATAATTTAAGATTTGTTAATGGATTTAAAATTAGTTTTCAGTATTAGGGAGAGATGGTGGATATATGGTTGATAGTGTGAACTCTCTGTGGAAAGGTTAGGTTTGAAATCCTGAAGGAGTCATTGTGTTCTTGGGCAAGATGCTGTAGCCTCACAGTGCCTATCTCCACCCCAGTGAACTGCCATGGTGGCCTGACAAACTTTCTTGAGGGGAGGAGGGTGGGGGAATAGTTCCATATTCACAGAAAGCAGTGTTACTCTCAGTAGTTTCCTGGTATGAAAACTGAGCTAAGCTCTGGCAGGGAAAGAGGCACTTGGCTTATGTACAATCAATATGATTATATACCTTGAATACTAGGGATTCCTTTGACCATGTGTACAACCTCTCCGCTGTCAAAAAGGTGTAAGTTTCTAAAGAAACTGTGGTGCTGCTCTGGTGGAAGAGTATAGCAGAGTCATTTGGTATTATCAACTGAGTTAAAGAAAATTGGCCACCATTAAGAGTTTCAAAGTACATATGATACCATACACAAGCTTAGTTCAAAAGTGAAAAAGGAAGAGAAAAAACATAAAACTTAAATTATTCAGTATATAAACTTGAGTGCCCCCCAAAATGTGAAGTGAGACCAAATTTTCATGACTCTGCTCATATTCTTAAGGATGTTTACACTGTATTTAAAAGGTGTGATATTCCACCAGACTTCTTTGTGCTAAGTATTTCCATTCAGTATTACAGCCTTTTTCTAATTTGTACTCCAAAACTTTTAGGCTCCTTCACCTGCCTGGACACTGCAACCTCCAGCTGCCAGGTGGGGTTCTTTATTATAATTAAGAGACATAAAATGATAATTACCATAAACGTCCATGTATAAGCCACACTTTTTTTCACAAAATTGAAGCCAAAA